ACCTCGCGCAGGAGAGGATATTGCTCGTTGAGTGCCTCGACGAGCTGATCATGTTGGTCCGCATAGTAACGACCGATTCCAACCGGCACCCGCAGTCGCAGGGTCTCCAAATTGGGCGGAAAGGATATGTTGCGCGTGCAGATGCGGCGCATAAATTCCTACATCACGCAGTCAGATACGGGCGAGGGAAGCGCGCGGGTCATTCGTACATGATATTTCGGACTTGTGCGTTCCATGGCCACTATAGTTGAGTTCAAAGGGCGAGGAGGAGCATCCTCGGAATCTGAAATTTCTTCAACAGGGGGGTCGTCGAATGCTGCTTCATCGTCCAGCTCCAGAGCGCTTGCGTCCTCGGAAAAGTAGGGACCACCACCGAAAACACCGCCGCACACCATGCCTCGGCGGCGGCGGATGTCTCCATCGGGAACCGCCATAGAAAGACATTTTAGCCCGGGAAACATGGCTGTAATGGCCGCGGACGTGTCTAGAGTCGAAGAAGTACGGGGAATAGAGAGGGACTGAAGGGGCATTGAACTGTGCAAGATGGCCGTGAACGTCTGATGCAAGTCCTCAGCGGATGTGGTGTCATCTCCAACGTGAAGACTCTGGGGGTGTACTGTCACGGTACTGATGGGGCGATTTGGGGTGAAGAAACCGATTACCTTCCCCGGTGCCGCGAGGTTTCGCAAGAGTGGAACAGCGCCTGGGTCGAGGTGTCCCCGAGCGGATGCAACGGAAGTCGCTGGAACCGATTTTAAGACGAGAGATTCCAGCTGTGGACATTGTTCCAAGAAGCCGAGGAGCAGATCGAAGTCGGATGCATCGTGTAAGGATAGATCGACGAGGCAGGGGAGGGGGGTGCGGTCAAAGCCAATGATAAGGGGCAATATTTCTCGGGTAGCGTGGAGGTTGAGCTGGATTAGGCGCTCCGGGGATACGATTTTGAGAGAACGACGAATTGCAGGGTCGAACCACGGTCCCCGACCGCAAATCGTGAAACGCTGCACTTTCAGTTCAACCTCATCACTGTGCGTAATGCGGCAACTGTCGAGAGTGAGCTCCTGCAATCTCGGTAGGGACAACAGGACTTTCTTTGCACTCGCGTGGACGAGGACTCTCGACATTTCCAACGAAATTAGATTCTGATACAGTGCCAAAGTGGCAAAGAAGGTGATGATGACCCTGTCGCGCAAACTATCAAAGACGTCTGCACGACTGACGGCTACCTGGGTGCTAGGCAGCCCAGGGAGTGTCCATTCCCGTGGGAGTGACGAAGCGGAGGTGATTTCCCACGATTTGACCATTAGGACGCGGGGCGCTTGGGCTAATTTGTCGAGCCGCACCGCCATACGATGGAGGTGGTGGACATGCTCAAGCCAGGTGAGCGGCGTAATGTTCCTCTCGAGGGCTCCCACGTCCGCGCACTGGTGCTCGAGTAAAAGTGGTACGCAGACGGATCGAAACCGTCGGCACACCAGCGAGAGGCGGCGGAGCTGGCGGCGAGAGCACAATATCCAGGAGGAGACCCAGAGTTCGAGGGGAAGCATGCACAGGTAGTCAATCGGAGCCATGTCGTGGTGCGGAGTCAAGAGACGGCAAGACGTGGCTGACCGACATTGTTCCGGTCGAGGATGTTGATCTTATCGCGGGAGACTGTTTGCGCGCTGTTTGTACTCCCGAACATGGTTACACAGCTACGCCAAACCTATCGGAAGTTGACAGGCACGATACCTCGGAATTCTCAAGTGATTCCGAGATGTACGCAAAGGTTTGAAGTTCATTTAAGCTATGACGCCTTCAGCTCCTGAAATTGAGGCGTAATGTCCCAGGTTCGGCTCAAACTAAAGTGGCCGGAACCTGAACCGAACCGAACTTTTTTTTCCAGCACAGGTTTGAATAGCCGTCTAATCTCTCTCCAGAAATTTCGGAATCGGACGAGCCCAATACGGATCAAATCGGTGTAGTTAAAGGAGGAGCTCGGTAGAGGACCGGTGAATAACACCTGAGAGGTAGGCGAGACACAAGCTGGATTATACAAGGTGTCTGTCCCCGAGAGACTAACTGAGAGGAGAATTGTAAGATAATTTCACGGATTATGAGCGATCAATCAAGTAGTGCGTATCAGTAATCAAGAAACAATAGGATGGTCAAGCTTGTACTGTCCATCTACCGCCACACTCTAAATGCAGACTACAAGGCGCCAGCCAATGAAAGGACGGGGAATAATCCCCACTATTTTTGGTAGTAGGTCCCGTAGGTGCCGTGATTTCATATAAGCCTTCACAGCCCCTGGACCTGCTTTCATCTGCCCGATCTTGATCTCACATTAACTGAGCGCTACATGTGCGGTGTGTACCTATACAGTACGGTACTTTCTTTCTAGATTAGATATGCAAAAAACACAAAATCCAGGGTGGCTCTCTACACCTTCACCGCCTGCTCCTCCTCGCTCGACGCGCGCTCCACGTCCTTGCCCTCGCCTTCTGTCTCTCGCGGAGGGCTGGCGGACAGCAGCCGCCCGGGGTGCGCGATGTTGAGTGTGATGATGGCGAGCGTGATCATTGCGCCGTCGAGGACGTCTGGAGGGAGGAGAGAAGGTAAGATCAGGGTTAAGCGTTAAGCGGGGATAGGGGTGGATGGATTGCGGGAGTTGAAGGAGTGGGAAGAAAGGAAGAAAGGAGCGATGAGATGGAGGGGGATATTTGGATCGGGAGGATTAAGTGGCGTCGCGAGTGACGATAGAGAACAGAACAGAACAGAGAGCAATAAAACAGGAAGAACTTACTGAAATAAACTTGCGTACGGATGATCCTCCCCGACCATCCGTCACTCAGCTCAATCACACGGTAGACCGCACGGATGAAGAGGCAGGTGGTGTTGAACACGAGCGCGCACACGAGGGTCTTCATGTTCCGGCTCAGCGGCGCGGTCTTGCTCGGCACCGCGGCCGACGACCTAAGGGGTCGGTTCTTGAGGTAGCGCATGAGGAACTCGCCGGCGCAGAAGACGTAGACTGTTATCGTGACTAGGGGCGCGCACTCGTCAGTCGGTGTGCTGGCGGGGGGAAACGACAACAAAAAAAAAGGGGGGGAGAATAGATCGCGGAAAAAAGGATAGGATGAGGACGCCCGCTACTCACCCATTTGGAAGACGATACCCCCGAGCATGACGTGCCCGCCTTTGGCAGGATCGCGGCGCATGTTGACGGCCTGGGCGGCCATGCCACCGCCGATGGCTTGCACGATGAGGGAGATGACGTCCTGCGAGTGGGGGTAGAGATCGGTAAGCGCACAATATTAATCGATGGTGAAGCGAAGAGTGGCGCACGCAGCAGAGGAATAAGATCGTGTCTAATGCGGCGCGCGAAGGTCAGGAAGGAGTTGCTGATAAAGCGGGATTGGACGCACAGAGCTTGGGTGAGAGACGACTGTAGATGGGGCCCAGGCGGTTGATGATGTGCCCAAGGATGATAAAGTTGGCCGCGGCGAGTGGGGTCGGCTTTACAAAGCCCGGATCTCAGTCAGACGTGAGCCGTTGTGGCTGAGGGATACAATGCTCACCCCCATGATGGTGCACACGATTCTGTTGAGCGGATGAGTGAGGTCCTATACTGCACCGTGTAGAGCACGCACTGGATCTCATACGCCTTGAAAATTTGTGGCGCCGTGGAGGACCAAAGACGACCGCCCCAGCCTATGGTTTCTAGGATCCCAGCTAGGATTGCGGTTGGGATGAGCCACCACATGCGATAACGAGTGGCCTGCGCGACATGCAGGACTGTGCTAGAAATCAGGAGTGCTGTTTCGACGACTAAGAGCGACTTGAGACGCACGGGTGGACAAGGCGAAAAGAGCGACGAAGATGATGCAGACATACTCTGTGGGCGTGTACCCGTAGGGCGAAAACCTGAGTGTCGAGACCATCCTCGGCAGCTGTTGTTCGCCAGCGCTTTAAGTACGCGGGGAGCCTGGAACAAGTCACCTATCAACGGTAAGACGGTAATCCCGGAACTCCATCTGTCAGCACGGTGACCAAACTTTGACGGGCCGGCCTCCCGCGAAATTTTATTTTATTGAGATTGACTTTTGCAGCGGCGTCGATGAACGAGATATAGCTTCTGGAGGCGCTGCTAAATTTCGTCGGCAGAATCTGAAGAATCTCGAATGCGTTCAGTGTTCACATTTATTGCAGGAACATGAGAAAAACGTGGTCTTGGCACCCTCGACATCCCCATGTGTCTAATGATATCATAGTTCATGCAGACTGTCATTGACCAGGATTTGGTTGGGATAGTGCACATTCTGTAACAAGGCAAGCTTGGCTAGAGAAAAATAAACCCCTGTCACCGTGGGACTGCCTGTTCTTTTTTGGACACCGACATCCCCGAGACGTGGACGGACGTGCGAGAAGATTATTCATCCATTCGCCCGCGGCATCTCTAAAAATAGTGCATTACAGCTCTCAAGTCGCATTTAGTGCCAAGTGTTGGGAAGAGCGGTACACTCACCAGTTATTTCACGGTCTAGGGAGTGCAAAATAGCTCGGTCATTTGAGATAAAGATCATTGACAATCGCCGTCCAACAAAAGGAGTTGCAGTGGTGATCACTGCTATCGGGAATGTAGCGCCGCTTAGAGGCTAAACCTGCCACGGGGTGATATAATAATCGGGTATTGAGTGCAAATCAGATTCCAGTCGGAGAAAGAAAATGACGAGTCGCGATGCGATGAGATGATAATGTGCCGCAGTGGACCCTCGTCTGCGCTGCGGCCCAATGCCATCGGCGTGGAGGTAACGTCAAAGCCGGGGACAGGTGCAGAGTGGTCTAGAGAATGACTTTTTTTTTTTTTGCAGTGTGTGGATTCGGAATATTGGAAGCTTCCGAAGATAATAATTATCATGTGAGTTTCCTCTCCCATAGTGAAAAACGAACGCAGTTCCGGCGGATAAATTCCGAATTGATTCCTACGCATAAAAGAGGTTGGCAAAATATGAAAACAAGGCTTGGTTGCGGAGGGGCCGCGCCCGCATGCAATCGCAGTGCAAATGATACTCTGCAGGAGTCGCTCGTTCGACTCGAGCTCGGGCCATGGGTCGGTGATGCGTAGTTTTTTGGCATGTAGCCATAGATACTGTCGCGGTTTTGGACATTAATTCCTACTCATAACGAGGTTGGCAGAATATGAAAACAAGGCTCGGTTGCGGAGGGGCCGCGCCTGCACGCAATAAATAAGCAGAATCTTTGTCGCTGCAGGAGGCGCTCGTTCGACTCGAGCTCAGGCCATGTTTCGCTCGCTGTCCTATTTTTCTTTTGCCCCCCTCTCGCGGTTTTTGGCAGCGTTAACGAGCTTCTCAGCCTTTTATCTATGCAGGAAGGAAGATTTAAATGGCAGTGAAAACCAGATTCAGGATATTTACAAGCTTCCGAAGATAATTGTAATTGTCGTGCAACCGAGTGGAAATGAACGCAGTTCCGGCTGATAAGTTACGAATTAACTCCTACCCATAAAAAATTTGACAGAATATGAAAACAAGGCTTGGTTGCAGATGGGCTGCGCCTGCATGCAATAAATGTGCATAATGACCTGTCTCTGCAGGAGTTGCTCGTTCGACTCGAGCTCAGGCCATGTTTCGCTCGCCTTCATATTTTTCTTTTGCCCTCCCTGTCGCGGTTTTGGGTAGGTTCTCAGCTTTTTATTCAAGCAGGAAGGAAGATTTGAAGTGCATTTCACCGGTATCTATGACCAGATTCCAACAGCCGATAGTGGAGGTTCACACCGGCATTCAATTCGTCGCATCCTACTCATGAACATGAACCTCATCTGGTGAGGATAGCGCTCAGTCCAGGCCGATGAGATTAATACTACAGACCTGTTGCCTTTAAACACTTCATTGGTTCCGGGTACTTGTTTTTGTATCAGCATTATTCCTGATGACGGCGAACCAGCTTTCCAGCGTCAAGTAAATTAACACGAATCTCCACATTCCAACAGCGTTTCTGGCCTAATCGTTGATCTTTACACAAACATCTTCCTTCTGTCTCTTACTTTTCTCGCCACATCACAGCTGATGATCAACACACTCCCATCTCCCGAAAGTCTCGCCCCTATAAATATCAAATCCACCACACAAAATTATACAATCATCACAATCCTCGCTCACCGCCCGGCTCCACCTCCGTCCGCGGTCTTGTTGAGCACGTCCCGATCCGCCTCGTCCTGAGCTGCAGCGGCCGTGTTTCCCGCCTCAAGATCCAACGCGATTTTGAGCGTGATCCCTGCCTCCCCGCCCTCGAAATCCGGCGACCCAAATGCTTCGCCAGGGAGATCGGTGGCGATGGCCGCTGCTTGGTTGGAAAAGACGGACGCTGACGCGGCCGCGACCGCGACAGCCGCGGCGATCCCGGCGTCGGAAAGGTCGACAGTGGAGGTGGAGTGGCGGCGGCAACTGCGCCACCACGCTCGCGCCTCCGGAAAACCCGGGCCGGATTTTAACAGATGTGCAGCTCGAGACGGCATATGAGGCTGTGTTCAATGCGACGAACTCGGCCTTGGGAAGAAGCGACATCCGAGATGATGTAGACGAGCTCAGCGCCAGAGCAATCGCGATCAACGTAGGTTGTGCCGGGTGCCCGCCGCCTTAGTGTTTTTCACTCCTGTGGGATCAATTGCACAGCTGTGACTGAGCTGCATCTATATCGGCGGTCTCCGCGGCTCCAGGTTTACAAAATCGACCCAAAAAAAGTGGGGTAAAGTTGATCTTGAAAAAATGGGGGGAAGTTCGGCGTCACGAAAAAAAAGTGGGGGGAAGCCAAGCAATCTCCTCATTAGAAAACTAACATTGAGGTTTGAACCACATGCGCAGGACATATTTACAAGCGGAAAAACTGCCACCAATTCAACGGATACGCAATCTAATGAGCTATTGAGGAATTTAATGGATTTTTACAGGCACAGTTAATATTTACCGTTGACGCGACGAGGTTTCTGCCATCCGAACGAATCAATCCGAGTACATTCAGGACTCGTTGATGGCACTGATGACGTGGTCGAAACTTCCTTTCACGGAGAATAACGAACCATGGGTCCTGAATGGACTGGGAACGGCGTGAGCAGAGCAAGAAAAATTTATATATTTGCTATGAGAACTGCTCTAGTGAACACTTGGTGCCCTCCCATTCTGTACATGTATGTCGGATCCAACCCGAAACTTGGATATTATAGCCACACCACACCCATCATGCCACTTGTATTGCGAGTATTATGAATATGGAATATAAAATCATCCATATTTGTTTTGCCCCCCTGCGCCATGCGTCTTCATGCCGATGCGTTGATCTTCGCTTTGGCAGAGGCAACAAGTGCCTGAACGTCGGAATGGAGTTTCTCCGGGAAGTTCAGATCCCGGCGTCTCAGAGTGGGCTGCGGAAGGGAAGCCGTAAGGTTGGCTGCGTACTTGAAAGGAGTCAGCGCAGGACACAAGCCGGGGTAGAATTGGAAAAATACACTGTTCATCGCGTCCGCCATAGCCTCGTAGAGGCAGTGCACATTATTCTGCGTTTTCCAATAAATACCAGGCTGTGGAGGTACTTGAGTGGCCGGTTCTCCTCATGAATTCAGATCACTCACTATGTGACCAATAGTGGAATTGAGGGTCCGGATATACTGTGCAACATTATTACAGTCGCTTTTAATCGCATTCCAGATACTGTTGATCCCCGTGAGTTGCGTAGCTAGAGTCACCGCCTTTTGAGTGATACTATATAGGGTTGTGTTTGCGGCTGCGATGGCAGGGAGTTGACTCTGCAGGTGAGCGAGATCCACCTGGTCGTCCCGAAGCTCTGCACTAGCATCTGGATGAAGGTCAGAATGCAGGGGACGGATGTAGATTCCAAACATTGCGTACCAGCACGTGCTTGGAGTGTATCAACCAATACCGCGGAATCTCTGGCAACAGCTTCAAATCCAACCCCCTACAAATCCAGATAACGGTCAGGCTGTTCAAAAAAAAGCTCCGAATAGCGCACAGCAATATAGTCGGAAAAACGCGGAAATATATAATAGAAGGTCGCAGCAGCAACGATTGTGGCATCGGTTTTGACAGCTATGGAGATTAACAGGGCTGAGATTTCGCTCCCATACCTAGTGTGCTACGTGTTAATGGCACCTGCAGGACTGGCAGACAGCACCCACCCTGCGATCTTTGCCTGCAACAACGCAATGTCGGTGTTCAACTCGTCGATCGCCGCCTCATCAATCGCGGTCTGTTGGACCGCAAACGCTCTAAAAGTCAGAGTGAATGCCGCAATTTGATTGCGCAACTCGGTGAACGCGTCAGATGTAGCTCGCGCTTCGTCTGCTAAAGCATTCGCCATCTTCGAACAACAGTCAGTTAAATGTTATTTCAGCAAACGACGGCATCTTACATCACGATACCCGTTGAGGACTTCCACAGAAATGTTGGTGGGAACCGGCCCATCAAGGTTCGCAACAAATGGCATAATGACGGTTGTGAACTCGGTGCAGTACGCGGCAGTGTTCTTGGCGGTGTCGACTGAATCCCGCAATATATCCGTCCAGTTCTGTGAATTCAGAATATCAGAGCTAGCCTTGCGGAAAACGAATGCAGATGGGACCTGAGTGATAGGCTGCCAGGTCGGGACGAATATAGTAACGCTGCTGAGTTTTTGCGCGTCGATAGCGGCGAGTTGGTCGCCAATTTGCTCGAACGCCACCTGTGGTGCTCCTCAATATATATATATAGAAAGATGGGCGCAGCGTGCATAACCTACGTTGATCGCGATTGCTCTGGCGCTGAGCTCGTCTACATCATCTCGGATGTCGCTTCTTCCCAGGGCCGAGTTCGTCGCATTGCACACAGCCTCATATGCCGTCTCGAGCTGCACATCTGTTAGAATCCGGCCCGGGTCGTCCGGAGGCGCGAGCGTGGTGTTGTACACCTAGTCGAAGGCAAGTTAGACAGGAACTACACGGACGGCGATAGTAGTTGGATGAACCTGCATACGCCAACTGGCCCCGCAGGTTATGTTTGTGTCACCGGTGCACGGCGCGTCGCAGTCAGAGATGTGGGTTGCGGAGACATCTGAGACAAGATCTGAGCCGCAGTAGCATTCGTCGCCAGACTCGACGCCCGCGTAGGCGAAGCCGAGAGCGAAGCACTGCCGGGTGCAAGACAAAGGAGTGTTGGCTTCTGAGTTTGTGATGTATACGTCGGTGAGGATACGGGAAGGAATGTCAGTCGCGCATGGGATGGCGATGGCCCACCCATCCGCTAAGGCGGGAGTGGAAGAGGATGATGACGCGCTGGTTGAGGATGAAGCAGTTGTGCTGGCGAGAGACGACGAGGCAGAGGTCGGCAGGAAGGAAGTGGCAGCGGTCGTCGTGCATGCAACCGCGGCGATGCTAGGATTAGCAGCTACGCCTATGGGCGAAAAAACTGCGCCGGTGTCCTGTATACAACTGAGCATGGAGCGGCGATAGGAGAATGTATACTGACGACAAAATATTCAGCAAAGTGATTTCCCCCAGGCTGGAAAGCAGAACGCTCAGTCACTGGCCCTGAATGTCTAGACCATATTGACGCACCCAGTTCCAGCGACAAAAAAGACAGTTGTCTCCACAGCTAAAGTTTTCGATAAGCGTATTACCAGAGTTGTCTGTCGGGGGGCAGACAGATGAGCACGTCGTTGTGGTGCTGACAATTTCTCCTGGCGTTGGGGTGCTGGTAGCGACCGTAGTTGTACGGCTTGGGTAGATAGTGGACGTCGAGGTGCTCGTCGCGCAAGTGGCAGCTGCTCGCAAAGGGTTCGCAGCTACACCGATCGGAGACGTGACTGCGCCAGTAGTCTGTGGAGTTCCTCTCAGTTTACATTGTATCTGATCAACGACCACTATGCGCACTGTATCGTACTCAGCAAAATGGTTTCCTCCGGGCTGAATCATGGGAACTATGAGCTTCTTTTAGATGCGTCGGCAAGAGGTCACTTACCCAGTTCCAACGACAGAAGAGGCATGTATTTCCACAACTAAAGCTCTCGATGAGCGCATTGCCCATCACATCGGTCGAAGGA